TATTTATTTATTTATTTATTTATTTATTTATTTATTTTATTATTGTTATTTTGTTTTTACATTATTTTTAAATTAATTAATCTACTTTTATTATTTACTTATTTTTCAGAGAGAGAGAGAGGGTGTGAGTGAGCGAGGGGCAGAGAGAGAGGGATAGAGAGAATCCCACCCAGGCTCTGCACTGTCAGCACAAAGCCTGAAGAGGGGCTCGAACTCACAAACCATGAGATCGTGACCTCAGCCGAAGTCAGATGCTTAACCCACTGAGCCACCCAGGCTCTCTTTAAACAAGTGACCGGTCAGCCAGTCATTGACCGTGGCTAGCACATCTAGGTAAATCAGGCCCATGTGGGTGGGTGCGATATCTGAGGACGGTTCCACCAACTGCCCCACTCCCAGCCCAGTCACCCAGGACAGACGACCAGGCAACACCAGAGATCTGGGGCCACTGGGGCAGCTGCTGCTACATCCACATCCCTAGGTCAGGCGTGCATGTAGCAGACACTTAACCAAGTTTTGCTGGGTTGAACCAAGAAATTGGATTCTTTGAGTGAACAAAACCCAGAGAGACCTAGGCAGTGTTAGCAAGGGGAGAGCACAGAGCTGGCCCCTTTTCGGTATTTTCCAGGTTATACTGGAACAGGAGGCTGTCCTCAGTGTGTCTTTGGTAGCTCACCTGGCAGGCAGTGGTGGATAAGGTACGTGAGGTCCGTTGCCCCAGGACTCCTGCTTCTTAAAAAGGTTTCCATTCTTTTATATTACTCGGTCTGATTTTAGGTATTTTCTACCAACTTAGGCCTCAGCTTCTTTTTGTGTCATGTGACAGGAGGGGGTCCTGGCCCCCCAGGCACAGTCTAGCTCCCCCAGAAAGAGCCACCTCCTCTCCTGGCTGCCTGGCTGCTGTGGGTCTAAGTTCCAAGGACCTGCTTCATAGCTGCAGTTCTGAGATGGTAATCAGCTGAGCTGCAGGGTAGGGCCAGACCAGCCTGGAAGGAACCGGACAGGCAGTGGGCTGGGCTCCCGGGAAGTGTGGCTGCTCAATCCCAGCCAGGGAAGAGGGAGGGCCAGGGATGAGCAGAGTGGTACCTACACTAGCACTTCTGATGCCAGGTAAGTGCTTACTCTCTGGCACGTGCTCTCTCTCTAAATGCCAGCCCTGCTCTGACACTTCACGAATTTCCAGGCCAGGGTGGGCTCTCTCCTGGCAGCTCTTCTGGACTCCGTAAAATATCACGTTCAACTCTTGAAAGAAGCAGTGGGGTGGGTAATTCACAGCATAGAATGATACCTAAGTCACTTAAATCTGTAGGTGCTCTGAGTGTGTGAGTGTATGTGTGTGTGTGTGTGTGTGTGTGTGTGTGTGTGTGTGTGGTGTGTGTTTGGGACCAGGTATCAGCTAAACTCTGGATCCAAGAGGTCAGCACTATAATCACTCAATTTACGGAGGAGAGTTTTGCCCAGTTTCCAAATTCACCATGCATGATGTGGGTAATCCACCCACAGAAAAATCAAGAATTATGGTTAATAATTAATAATTCCATGGTGACTGTATATCATGATGACTGGACAGAGCAGTTTCTCTCTCTCTCTCTCTCTCTCTCTCTCTCTGTCTCTCTCTCTCCCTGCAGGATTCCCAGGGGAGAAGAGAATTTCAGATGTCACCTATAGTAGTGGTTATCAAATACTGTTGATTGCAGTTTCCTGGGAAGCTTCAAAATGTAGATTCACAGGCCCCTACCAAGCTTACTGAATCACAGTGCCCAGGTGGTGGGGCCCAGGAATGTGTATTTAAAAAAAACCCTGTAGTGATGATCTGGATGATAAACTGGGTTTACGAGCCTGGTCTGTGTCCCTCAGATGGACAGGACATCTGCCGGCCTTCTCAACATGACTGTGTCTCCAGCTCTTTTTCTCTGTTGATGTGTTTGAATATGCCTGTCGCCTTCATCCTCCACACTGTAGCACACCAGCCATCAACTCGTCTGGCGGCAGCCCAAGACAGATTCACTAACATGCTGGGACTCCAGTCCTCAGAGCAGCTACCCCAGACCTTCTGGCTCCCATGCCTCTCCTTCCTTCCTGTCCGTGCCGCAAGGAGTGCTGGGTAGTGGGATGTTGGTGCCGCAGTGAGCAGAGAAGAAAAGGCCGCTGGCAGCAAGACCCGGGCATGCAAATCTTGGTTCAAGGAACCAGAAACGGTTCTCAGCTGCTAGATGGGGGCATCTAGTGCCTGCCCCAGAGTGGGCACCCCAAATTTTCTGTGGGATGGATGAAGGAATAAAAGGATCATTTCTAGGGCATTTAGAGGGGTCAGAGGGTAGGAAGACCCTAGCCAGGGTGGGGGTCGGAGGGTCTTTACCAGATTGTCCAGTTCTGGGTCATCGCTGAAGAAGGCTTTGTGCTCCTGCTCCTGCTGGTGGACAAAGTTCTCGATGTCCACATCAAAGCTGGCGGAGGTGATGCACTCAGAGCCCTGGGTGGCCTGCTCACATTTCTCAAACAGCAGCGTCAGGAGCGGGAAAAGAGGGTGCCTGCGGGGACATCAAGAACTCACACATGCGCACACGCAGAGACCCGCTGCTGGCTGGGCTCAGAAGCCACCAGGGCCCCTTTCCCACATTCCCATCACTCCTTCTCCCAAGGTCCTACTTCTTAAGAACATCCCGAGTCCCCACGCCAGCCTGGATGACAGCACTTCATACCCTGGCACGGAAGGATCCAGTCTCCTCGTTGCTGGGGCCTTAGAGGGCTCCGTTCCTCCCCACTGGGTGCCTAACGCTTCTCTTTGGTCAGATAAGCTGCATGGATATTTGGTGAGAGATGATGGGTATAACTTATTTCAAAGAAATAAGTGTCCATTTCTGGGTCAGGGTCAACCCGGGAGGGAGATGTAGGAAGTATCCAGAAGAGTCCTGGGTATGAGCGGTAGTGCTTGGTCACAGACCCATTCGTGGCTGTCTGGAGCCAGCTGAGGGCCACAGATGTGCACACCTGTGTGTCTGCAAGTGTATGCAGGGGGATATGTGTGAGCTGGAATATTCGTTCCACACGTGGTGGGCGGTTATCTCCACCTGTCCAGAGTCTGCTGACTGACTCAGTTTAGATCAGACACCCCAGTTACATGTATAACATCTCCCTGCACCTTTCTATCGTCGTACACTTAGCACAACCGTGATTCGATGATTATCTGCATCACTGTTTTCTTCCAAGATTGCCCCTGTCGTAACGATCATTGTATCCTTAGGACCTTGCCCCACATGCTCATAGCAGGCACTTACTAAATATTTGGTGACTGATGACGAATCGGCAAATGAAGACAGTGTGAGTGTGAGTATGGGGTGTGTGGGCATCGTTCTGTGATGTATTATGTAAGCTGAAGTGCCTACCTGACTGGCTCTAAGGGTCTTAGCTTAGACATCACCAACTCTGGGAAGCTTCCTTCACTGCCCCTGCCCCTGACCTACGCTGATGGCTCTCTGAGCTGTTTGTTTTATTATCTGCCTTCCTCACCAGACTTCGAGCTATATGAGGGAGGAACCAAGCCCACCTTATTCATCACTGGGTGTCCCGAGTCTAGAGGAGGTATGTGGATCCCAATACATACCTGTTGCATATTGTATGTGTGTGTGCCATTTGTACTTATAAGTGCATATCGTTCTTGTTTCCCCGCAGCATGTGTGAACAATCAGGTCTTAGCATCCCGGCAAGCGTGCATGTGTTTGCACAGATTGTTGACCCTGGACCCTGCAGCCTCATTCCCTTCCACTATGATTCCAAAGAGAAAGCATCTGTCCATCCCTCTCTGGGCTCTCCTCAGTCCCTTGGGACCACACAATCTAGCTCTTTTCTTTTTGATTAAGCCCTGCTTGCTGGGAGAGGAGGAAGTATGTATGTTGAGCTTGGCTCCCGGGCCTCTGCCAACAGGGATATTCTAGTCAGTGTTGTCTGATAGAACTTTCCGCACTGATGGAAATGGTCTAGAATCTCTTCTGTCCAATATGGTAGCCACTAATGACTGAAGCCAACAGACACTTGAAATATGACTGTGGTGCTTGCAACACTGAATTTTAAATTTATTTAACTTTAGCAATTTTAATGTAACTAGTCGCTTGTGGCTAGTGGCTACCATATTGGAGAACACAGTAAATCTTGAAAAGGAAAAAAGATCATGCTTTTTTCCTTCCAGTACACTATGAACACACCAAGAGAAAGACTGAATATCCAGCCTATACAGTGTTTGTATGTAGATGGGGGAACCCCTCACGGCCTGTATTGGGATTCAATAATTCTGGGCAAAAAGACAGAAGGTGCTTAGTTCCATCTACACTCATACCTACACCTACTAGTCATTCTACTCAGGCTCAGGGGCAGTGGGGGGATGAGGAGACACAAATTCCTGACTCCTATGAGCTGCTTGGCATGGCCGCCTGTCTCTAGACACCATCTCCCGACCCTTGTTTTGGGAGCTGATGCGTAAACATCTGGATCCCCAGAGTGCAGCCTAGGTTACAGTCTGGAGAGGAAAAAAGGGTCAATATCTAAGGATGGTGCATCTGCAGTCCCCAATTGCTAGAAGATCTATTCAGCTCCGGCAGGAAGCCGGTAGGGAAAACAATGGGTTCGCTTACCCATCCGGCTGAAGACAAAGAGAAAACCAGGTGAAGGGGTTAAACTCCCGTGTAAGTCTTCATTTGCAGCCACTAATACCGCAGCATATTATAGTCTAATCTAACCTGATCCCAGTTTAATGCAAGATTCTCCTGGCCCTGAGTGGAATACCAAAGAAAGCCTCAGTGGCTGTAATTTAAGCAGAGCCCTGCAGTGGTTTAGCTGAGGGACATGAAAGGCAAATTCTAGACGGTGTTATGAATTATTGCGCCTTATGAACCTTCCTACTCTCAACAGATGCCTGCTGCCATTTAAACAGCCACTAGATCAATTAGGAATGAAAGGCACAAATCGACTCTGTACAAGGGCACTAAATTACCAGGAACTAATAATCCGCAGCATCGTGCCAGGTGCTGGGGGCGCAGCCCCCGCCCCAACCCCGCAGCCGCCGCCGGTCACTGCACATTCCTTTCTCACGGGTTGCAGGGAGGGTGGGCAGCTGCTGAATGGAGAGGGGATGGTCTCTGTGTGTGTGTGCATGTGCATGCGTGTGCACCAGGGCTCAATGTAGGCTGTCAATGAGAGCGAGTGCGAGTGTTGTGTAAGTGTTCCATCCCGTGTGTTTTTATGGTGTGTGCCCATACAGTGCGTCTATGCAGAATGTGTGCACATATGGGTTGTGTGTATGAAAGTGGGGTTCAGATTTTGCGTGCTGTGAGTACAGTGTGCACATGCCCCATGTTGTATGCAGTGTGTGTGCACGCGTTCTGTGTTATCTGTATGCGGTATGTGCGAGGGGATTGTGTGTTCTGTGTACACAGCATGGATGCCATGAGGGGTGGGGAGGAGGGACTCTGCCAGTGATGGAGTCTCCCAGCACTAGAGTTCGGGTAGGTGGGGAGAGTAGTCTTCTTCGCCACTGTCCTTGCCCCTGCAGGGCAGAGAGTAGTCTGGGAAGGCCTCTCTGAGGAGGTGACATTTAAGTTAAGCTTCAAATGATGGGGAGGCAGTCATGCAAAGATCTGAGGGAGGGCCATTCCAAGCAGGAAAAAAAGCAAAACACTAAAGATAGGAATGAGCCTGGCACATTTCTAGAACAAAATCCAGATGAGTGTGTGTGGAGCAAGGTAGGCAGGATGGGAATAGAGGGAGATGAGGTTGAAGAGGTAAGCAGGTGTGGTGGAGGCACTGTCACACACGTGGGGAACAATGTGCATCTTCTATGCGGAGCCACAGCAGGGGCCCTTTTTATAAATTTCTCACTTCCAGGTGTCAGATCTCCCCAGAGTGTGTGTGTGTGTGTGTGTGTATGTGTGTGTGTGTGTGGAATGTTTTCTGTGGCTTTTGCCATCTCTCGGAAGGAAACATACTTTCTGTCGCCACCTCCCCTCAACCCCCCATTTAACCAGGGGCCCCTGGAGCACAGAACAGACCTCATGGATACTGGGATGGCCACCTCTCTCCAGCCCCTCCCCGCCTGGGCCACACTACCAGCTCCCAAATCACTCTTCTCATATACCTACCCTCCCCAGGCTCCTGCTTCTGCTCACTCTGATCCCTGGATCCCTGAGCCCAGGGGCTCAGATGGCACCTGAGCTTGCCCACAGCTTTTCTGTGACTGATAGCCAGTGTCAGTGGGCTGCCTGTAGCTCCCATGCTCTATCTGCCTGGATCCCTCGATAAACCCAGACTGCTACCTGTTACCTGCTATCTGAAGCGTGGGGATAGGTGAGACGCTGTGCACCACCTCCTGAGAAACCAGCTGTTTCCCGGTGACCCAGCTGGGTTCCGTGGCTGCAGTCATGCCATGGGCTCCTCTAAGGCTGTTCCCAGCCCGGTTCCCGGCCCCTTTCCCAGTTGTCCAGACTATGCGCTAACCTATACTTCTAAGCTTCCCTCCAACATCACCCTAGAAGGCTGGAGATGAGGCCGGAAGTCTTCCAATAGAGTCCTTTCCAATAGCCCTTGCTGCAGGCTTGGAGTGGGGTGGGGTGGGCAGGGACCATGGGAGCCGGGGATCTTAGCCACCGGGGAGATGAATGGTCCTGTCTGAACCGGGCAAGGGATGGGAAGAAGGATTTCCAGTTAGGTGTGGGATTTGCTTCTTTATTCTTGGCCTTCCCTGAACTACCATTTGTCCAACTACAATGGGTTTTAAGGAGTTCCTCTTCATGCTGTCCAGATCTGTTCCATTGTAGATCAATACCCTTCAGAGGCTAGAAGTAAGAATGTGGAAACCCAGTCCCCAGTGCCCAGATGATGATGAACAAGATATGAAAGATGGTCATTAGACTTTATTTCCAAAGAGTGGAAGACATTTGACCTCCATAAGAGCTCACCTTCTCCCTCCCAGATCTTTCTCCGCTCTTCTCTCCCTCGCCTCCTGTCTGACCGCCCCCTCCACCCCAATCTCTCTTAAGCCGTTCAAAATTTGGAGGAAATAAATCTCACTGCACTAATTCAGTGAGAGTTTGAGCCTCGTCAGTGCAGAACAAATAAAAGGAGTGAACTGGCATGACATTTTACTGCAGAAGAGAGGTCGTTTCCAGCCACTAATAAAAAGGATTTGACACAGACTAATAAAGAGAAATGAATTTCTCTAATGGCCTAATTTAGCACATTCAGCACTGTGCCTCTGCCTGGGTGCTGGGGGGCGGGGGGAGCCGTGAGTGCCGACGGAGCCAGGAGCAGGGGAGATGCATGGCGAGGAGAGGGGAAGAAGAGATGATCTCAAATAACATTTTATTATTTCTTTTCTCTTTTCTGAGTCCCTACCCCCACCCCCAACCTCATCACCTCTCCTCAGGAGCATCTGAACCAAAATCAAGCTCAAGATATGCAGTTTCTGTTAACGATCCAAAGAAATAAAGAACCCCTCTCCACAGACTTGCAGTCTTGTGCTAGCTTAAGAAGGTGATTAAAC